AATATGTCATGATTGAGGTTTTGGGGGTTAAAAAGGTAATTTCTAGATTTAAATTGAAAAAGATCTTGAAGAAAGGGGCTGAATGGTAAGTATTGGATTAAAATTGAGAAGATTTTATGGAGGCAGAGGCTAAAAAGGTAAGATTTGGGTTTAAATTGGAAAAGAAATGTTGGAGAGGGGCCGATATTGTTAAAATAGATAGAAGTTTGATGAAACACGGGTTAAGCCCGTCACCCCCTCATGCAGCCTATATATATATATATATATATATATATATATATATATATATATATATATATATATATATATATATATATATATATATATATATATAAGTGCATTACAAACCCTAACCCTAAAGGAATGCATCAGCCGCCATCCTCACTCTTCAACTTCCGGCGACGCCACCCCTCTCTGTTGTCAAGGTCACAAGCACTACTGCCAGCGAAGACGTCTTTGCTATGGTCCCATGGCCGCCGCCGACGACAAATCTCGGCTGTCTCTATTACCGTTCGTGGTTAGAGAAAACGAGCCTCTCCCATCTTCCTCGTTTCTGTTCCGGTAATACGCGTCGTTAGAGCGCTGCTGCTCCACTGTTGCCCGTTTCCGTTGAAGACAAGTTGTCACCGGTTTCTCGTGGATGGCTCAGGCGTAGGTACCGTCGTGTTCGTGCGTTCATGTTCCTCGGTGAGCTGCTACCAAACGTGATGACCGCCGGTGATATTGCCGCTGCTGCCGCCTTCTTCTGTCACTGCCGCAACCGTACGCCACCAGGTGGCTGGCTGTGTTACTGTTCCGAGCAAAGCATGTTTGTGTGTGTGTGTATTTCAATGAAGTGGGGTTTGGGGTGTTTTGTTTAGCCGAAATTCTAGGGAAAAGCCATCACCACCACCGTGAGGTGGTGGCTGCCACCTCCAACCACCGCTTGCAGCCACAACGGTGGCTGGGTGTGTGTGTATGTGATATTTGTGTGTGCGTTCATTTGGTTAATTCGTTGTAATATTGTATTTTGATTGGAATAATTAAAGAAATCCGTCACCACCATCGTGAGGTGGTGGCCGCCGCCGTAAGCCGCCATTGACCACCACTACCCGAGGTGGTAGTGGGTGGTGCCCAACTTAATTTATAAATAATTAACCTAAAAACGTAACTAATGGGCTAATTTGATCGCGATTGGGTTGGAAACCCTAATTTTGGATTTATCAGTTTGGACTTATCGGGACCCGCGTTTTGGGCCATTGGAATTGAATTGTGGATTACACCCGATCACACCATATGATTTATCTAGTAGAGTGATGGACTTAATGGATTAAGTCCTTAATGGGTTTAGTGAGAAACACTTAACCCTAATCATCATTTCATGTGAGAAACCCTAATTTTGCTTGGGCTTTGAGTTGGGCCTTTCTATTGGGCTTTGGTGATTGGCCTATTGATGGGCCATCCAAGAACAATCATATGGACTAGAATATTTGCATGGGCTTTAGGATAAGGCTCATGTGAGGGTTTGGGCCCAATTTGGAAAATTGGGCCATAGATGGGCCATAATTGGGCCTTGAGGATTATGAACGGTTGGACCATTGGAATGCCAAATGTTTGGACTAGAATAAATGGTTGGGCCTTAGGGTAAGACCATGTAGAAGTTTGGGCCCAATTTGGAAAATTGGGCCATATGTTGGGCTTTGATTCATAGTTTGACTTTTGGAACTTTGGATTGGGCTTTGAGTTGGAATCAAGCTAAGGTGGGGGTAAAGTAGTCTTTTACCCCAAGCATGGACTTATGGTTATGTGTTGGAACCTAATGATTAATTGGGTGTTATTTTGATGTTGAAAATTCGGGAACCTGTCATCTAGGAACTAGAGTTTTGTCCGCGGGACTTGAGCAGTGCGAGGTAAGTTACTTTCCAGTAGAAGTTGGTCTAAGGCCACAATGTCGACCCACTAGTAGGATTTGTTTGTTAGATGATTGTCTTTGTGATAATTGTCTGGTATGCCACTATTGATGTTCTTACATGCTAGGATGCTATGATATATGTGTTAGTAGTAGTAGGGGTGAAGTAGTCCCCGGATATCGGTTGAAAGATACCGAAGGTGTAGACAGTGCCCATGCATGCCTAGCAGTATGTTCCTGTTATGTTATTATGTGGTAGTGGTAGGGGGTGAAATAATACCCGGTTACCTGTTGAAAGATACCGAAGGGGAGGCCAACACCCAGATATGCTAGGCAGTATATGAATGATATGTATATGTTATGTTATTATGTGGTAGGGGGTGAAATAGTTCCCAGTTACCGGTTGAAAGATACCGAAGGGGAGGCCAACACCCATATATGATAGGCAGTTACCGGTTGAATGATACCGAAGGGGAGGCCAGCACCCATATATGCTAGGCAGTTACTGATTGAAAGATACCGAAGGGGAGGCCAACACCCAGATATGCTAGGCAGTTACCTGTTGAAAGATACTGAAGGGGAGGCCAGCACCAAGATATGTTAGGCATTATGTGTTTATATGGTATGTGGTATGATGGGGGAACTCACTAAGCTTCGTGCTTACGGTTTACAGTTTTGGTTTCAGGTACTTCGTTCTCAAAGGAAAGGAGTCGGTCCGATCGCAACACATCACACTATGTTTTCCGCACATGAGATCTTTGGGATTACACTCTGATATTATTTTATTATAACATGTTTTGGTTATTGACACTTTGGTTTTGACATGGAACGTTATTATGGTTGTTTTATTATACTGATGGTTTTATAATAACTTAATTAAAATGAAATTTTTGGCCTTGAATTTTGGGATGTTACAGAAACGAACCATTGATGGAGAGGGAAGAGGATTAGGGTTTAAGAGAGAATCTACCTTCAAGAATTTGTGATTAAATTTGGATATGATTATAATTCCTGATTTCTTGCTATGAAATTCCTGATTTCTTGTTATAATTCAAAACTAATTGCCGATAAATTCAAACGTCAATGCGTAACTATTAAAGCTGAAGCAGGAGGGCTTTTGGGAAAACTCACTTTGGTATTTTTAACGTAAAAATCCATTGGGGAGGGCTTAGAGAATGCCACATGGCAAAATTGATTTTATTTATTAGATTAGAAGATAACTTTTTGAATCTATTTTAATATCATATTCAAAGTGTGAGTTTCTTAAAAAAAGTCAATAATCAAATACATATCTCATTCTTATTTATTTTATATTAATAATATTATGTGAAAGTAGGTAGTTATAAAAACAAACAAAAAGGTAGAAAAATATTTATATTAATATTTATTTAAAAAAAAGTCAATAATCAAACACATTCCTTCCATGCCACAACAAGTGTCACCGACACCATCACCATCTCCGCCACCAACCAACCCCATCGCTGCCACCTCTCTCACCTCTACCATCGCCACCTCCGCCACCACTACCTCTTTCATTATCAACCATCATAATCATATATGATTAATCACTTTGTGAATATATATATATATATATATATATATATATATATATATATATATATATATATATATATATATATATATACACGTATAATCATTTTTGATTAAACATATATGTATAAACATATATTATTATAACTTTTCGTTATATAATTATTTGTGATTAGGCATATCCTGTTGCGTTGGTACGCTGATTGTAAGGAATCGTAGTGTGTGTGTGTGTGTGTGTGTGTGTGTATATATATATATATATATATATATATATATATATATATATATATGGGAAAAGTTCAATAGACAACCATTATTAATAAAGGAACCAAGGAACCAATTCAATGCATCGAAATTTAAAGCGATCAACGGTAAAAGAAAGAGTTGTAGACTTTTACAATGGACGCACAATTACCAGATTATAACTAAACCTACTTCCTTTCTTTAGTTTAATTTTTTTAGGCCATGTTTTTTATCAAAAAAAAAAAAACGAATATACCATTGTTCGTGATTTTTCGTTCTCTTTCCATAGAGATCCATATTGATATATAAAAAATGATTTGTTTTTCTTCAAAAAACTCACTTCGTTTTCTTTGTTTGTTGAAAAGTACGTCTATTTTTTATAGAAAAAAGTTAATAAATATATCACAATTCATACTTTTTGGTAGTCTGTAAACATAGATTCATATTGATGTTAAAAAAATTGATATTTCAGTTCAGATTCACATTGTAAACCTGTTCAGATTCACATTTTGAACATTCTCAGATTCACAGTGTCCATAATAGTAAGTCTGATTCACAATGCGAATCTGAATTGATCGAGCTTTTTTCATATTGTCAATGTTAAAAATTGAAATATTTACAGTTTAGATTTACAGTGTGAATCTACACTAATCGAAGTTTTTTTAGTCGGTGTTGAAGTTTATTAATAGAGTACAAAAAATTACTATTTTTGGTATAATTAGTTTTTTTTTGATAAAAATAAACTTAAATATTGAAAAAACTAACAAAATGAAGTGAGTTTTTTTCGAAAAAGAAAGTTCCTTTTTTATATATCAACATGGATCTCTATGGAAAGTGAACGAAATATCGAGAACAACGTTATATTCGAGTTTTTTTTTCGATAAAAAATGTGGCCTAAAAAAATTTTAAACCAAAAAAAGATGTGAGTTTTTTTGGTAAGAAGATGAATTTTTTGGTATAATCCGGTGTGTGTGTGTCCAATGTATAAGTGTACATCTATTTCCTTAACCGTTGATCATTATGATTTCCGACGCTCACGATTGGTTTCTTGGTTCCTTGTTAATTATGGTTATATATATATATATATATATATATATATATATATATATATATTAAATTATTCTAATTGATAATAATGAGTAATATATAGAAATATAACCAACTTTTTAAGTGTACCTAATTTTTTATTTTATAAAATAAATAAATTATTTTACATGAAACTACATGATATGAAGGGCGTGACGTTTATCATTTTATGTTATAAAGGATGAGGGGTTTGTGAGTTCAAATTTCATTCATCTATCCAAGTTTCATTAAAATGGAGGCATTAAGGAATCCTAACGGTGCAAACTCAAGCCCTCTTACTCCTCTTGGATTTCTTGAGAGGGCAGCCACCGTATTTGGTGACTCTCCCTCACTCGTCTACAACCATCTCACCTACACATGGTCTGATACATTTCGTCGATGTCTACGTGTAGCTTCATCCATCTCCACTCTAGGGATCGGGAAAGGCGACGTAGTGTCGGTGCTTGCACCGAATATCCCTGCCACTTATGAGCTTCATTTTGCCATCACCATGACCGGCGCCGTAATCAACACCATTAACACCCGTTTAGATGGCCGAACTGTCTCAATAATCCTCCATCACAGTGAGTCCAAGCTCGTCTTTGTAGACTACCAGTTAGCCCATCTTATTCAAGAAGCGGTTTCTTTGTTGCCGGATCATTGTGTTCACCCACCACTGGTTCTAATCACCGAGGATGAATCTCTGTCGGATGGTTTCATCAATACTTATGAAGGTATGGTTGAAACAGGTGATCCTGGATTCGAATGGATTCGGCCGGAAAGTGATTGGGATCCAATGACGTTGACTTACACATCAGGAACAACTTCGTCACCCAAAGGCGTAGTCCATAGCCACCGTGGCGTATTCATTGTAGCTGTTGACTCTCTATTAGAATGGGGGGTACCAAAACAACCAGTTTACTTGTGGACGCTGCCAATGTTCCACTCAAACGGGTGGACGTACGTCTGGGGTATGGCGGTTGTTGGTGCCACCAATGTGTGTCTACGCAGATTTGAGGCATCCATCGTATACAATGCCATACGTGACCACAATGTTACGCACATGTGTGGTGCCCCGGTTGTGCTTAACATGCTATCAAACAGCGAACCACTCGACCACACTGTCCATATAATGACCGGCGGAGCACCGCCTCCTGGGAAGGTGCTGTTAAGAATGGAGTCTCTGGGATTCGACGTCACCCATGTATATGGATTGACAGAAATGGGTGGGCCAGTGGTAGTTTGTTCGTGGAAGAAACAATGGAACCGATTACCGGCGACCGAGAGAGCTCGATTGAAATCAAGGCAGGGAGTTAGAACGAATGGGATGACGGCGGTGGATATTGTTGATCCTGTTTCAGGAGTGAGTGTACCTTGGGACGGGTTGACGCAGGGTGAGATAGTGATGAGAGGTGCGTGCGTTATGCTGGGTTACTTGAAGGATCCTGAGTCAACTGCGAAATGTATCAGAGATCGATGGTTTTACACCGGTGACATTGGCGTCATGCACCCTGATGGGTATTTGGAAATCAAAGACAGATCAAAAGACATAATCATAAGTGGTGGAGAAAATATTAGCAGCTTGGAGGTGGAGTCGGTGTTGTACATGCATCCGGCGGTGAATGAGGCGGCTGTGGTTGGACGGCCTGATGAGTTCTGGGGGGAAACGCCGTGTGCGTTCGTGAGTCTAAAGGATGATGATGAGGGGAAACCGCTGCCTACACCGATGGAGATAATTGAGTTTTGTAAAGGGAAGATGCCTGGTTACATGGTGCCAAAGTTGGTGGTTATAAAGGATGAGCTTCCCAAGACATCTACGGGGAAGACGCAGAAGTATGTACTTCGAGAATTTGCCAAAACTATGTGATTTGCTGTAAAAATTAATGTCCAAATATTATCCACAATGGCTAAATGTTTGCCACATGATTTATTGGTTGCTGAAAACTATACTTAAATAATACTTTGAACGTTTTTAATATCGGAGAAAGACACACAATTTGGTTAAGGGAGGTGATAAATCCACGTTAATTTTTTATCTAATTTTTTATCCTTCCACTGATAATTATATCTATTAACATTTATACCCTTATGTAAATTATCTTTTTGAAGAAAGAGAAAAGCTCATTCCATTTACTGTAAACCCACAACTACTCCTCCTCTCTCTCACACACTGCCACACATATCTCTTCTTCATAACCATTCCATTCACTGTAAAAAATAATCTCTTCCCTCCTTCCATCAAATGACAATAACCAGAAAGACTCGATTATCTCTCTCTTTACAATTTGAATAAGTTCTAGGTTTGCTTTAAGCCACAGAAAACCCATATTAATTTTTCTGCAAACTCCATCTTCAATCAAACCACCACAACCATGGAGTATCGTGTACATCTACAATTTTGATATCGATTGAAAAAAACACCCAAGGTCAAAAGCCTCATTAAACCAAAGTCTTCATGAGTGAACAAAACAGAAATCTAAGAGGCATCTTTGGATACACTTTGCTCGGTATCCTTCTCTTACCCCTTATTGGTGGTTTGGTGGCTCTACGGGGAATCCTGAGAGATTGAGAGATTTGGCTTCAATGGCAGTTGCAATCTGCTAATTTTATTGATTCATCACATATACGATTCAAATATCTTTCTGGTTATCCCGTAATTTTCCCTCTTTTCGTTTTCCTTTTTGTTGTTTACATATTTTGATCGCATGAAATCATTAGTAAATTAGAAGCTAATGGGCTTGAAGCGGTTCGTCCTCCAAGAAAAAAAATACTCAAAGAAAAAGAGTCTAAAGGTCTCCTCCGAGGTTTTTCAAATTTACCAGTTTCTAGCTCTAGGGCTTTGGCTTCTTGTATGATTTTCTCAATAAGTTAATCTCCGTTGACATTTTTTTGATGTTCTATTATTAAAATGCAAAATTTTAGTTGTTTATGTTTCTCAACTTGATAACCAATTTTTTTGGATTTACACATGTTGATAATTTAAACTATTCGAATTTAGTTGCACATAAAACTGGGTTCTTAAAATGAAATTATAGATTGTGTTGCTGTGTGTGTGTTTGTGTTTATGTGTGTGAGAGGGTGAGAGGACGCAGGTTTGGTAAAAAAAAAGGGTATAGTTAAAGTGAGGGTATAAGGGTATAAATGTCAACAAATTTAAATATTGTGGATGGATAATAAACCACCAGTGGAAGAATCAGCTCCCTTTGGTTAATCTATTTTCGTTTGTATACGGATGGATATAACTGAGTAGGTTACAACCCGTGGAAACCACGGATAAAAAAGAAAAAACATTATTGATAATTAAATTGGTAATAAAAATCAAAGATTTAAAAAATTTCAGTTAAATTAATAAAATATAAGTTTTGTTTAGACTTTTATATTCATTATTAAGAAATAGATTGTAATAAAAACTTATTCCACTTTTTGTCATTTGTTAAAGTCAATGTAGTTCCACTTCCATTCTGCATTTCCAATCATCAATTGAGGAATTGGCACCTCAACAAACTCTTGACATTCAATATAAGACTTTTCGGTTAACCGCAATGGAGAAACACATAAATTTGTCCCCCACCCCTCCCCCCCCCAAGATCTAATACATTAAAAAAGGGAAAAAAATGATTTGATAAAATAGACACAGACACAGACACAAACATGTCTTTACCTCCATCCATGTCTTTACCTCCACCTCCTATTGATGCCACCACCACTATTGGATTTCCAGTGACAATCACTAAATAAGCATGGAATTTCGAATACTTCTCCAACATTCATCCAAAGTTTGTCGAAATCTGATCAAATGATAAGCCTATAGTTGTAGTACCCAAAGTAAAGAAACCAAACCAAATGTTGGAAAAGGCTTTGCGTAATAATAATAATCCTACACAAAGTGTCCCAAATGTAGTTACTAAAACCAACAACTTTTAAAGAAGAATCAACAATATTAAAGAGACCAAATTTATCGTTTAAAATGAGTAAAGAACATGAGACATAAAGGTTGACTGATATCGGAGAAACTTTCTCGGACAATTTGGTTAATCTATTTCCGTTTGTGTACGGATGGATATAACTAAAAAGGTTTATATTTTTGTTTTGATGTCAAAAACGTTATAAGTTGATAAATATTTTTTAAGTGTTTGGCAAAAGGAAAAAAAAAAGGATTTATAAAGATGTGATAAGTATAAGTTATAAATATTATTTTATAAGTTAGGGGACTAACTTATCAAAAACGATTATAAAAAATAGCTAATTGGAGTTGCAGGGATGATATTAACTATTTTTTTAAATATTTATCTAAACACTTCTTTCGGGCAATAAGTTAATTTTTTTTTGCTTTCCTAAAACTTCTTGAAGTGACAAACTTACCTATCTAAATATATTTAATTTTATGATAAGTTAAAAAAAAAAAAATCTTTCCTGAAAACTTCTTGAAGTGACAAACTTATCTATCTAAATATATTTAATTTTATAGTGTTTAATGGTTGTTATATATTAGTATTCTTTTGTAACTTTATTATCTCTTTTCTACCATTCATTTTTGTTTAATGCAATATTATAAAGAAAACTAATATATTATAAAATCTAATTTATAACTTTTCTTAAAGATTAAAATGTTTTCTTTCTCACATGGAAGAAATCAATCATCATTTAACTTCATATCTATTTAATGGTCAGGTTGAGTTTTATCCAAAAAATATCATCTAAATATTTCATCTCGTTCAATTTTTCCATCATACTATTATGTTCTTATGGTTTTTTGTATTTCCACTTGTTATATAATGTACTAAACGAATATATGTGTGTTGCGCAAGTTAAATTATGTAATATAAATTCTAACAAATATATATATATATATATATATATATATATATATATATATATATATTGAACCAGCAAACGAGAATAATATGTATAAGGAAAATCCACTTCTAGCAAGTCACTAAAGAGGACAAACAAAAGTACAAATGACAAGAAAAACGGAAAATAGGAAGGGAATTGAAATGCAATTACATTACAGACTACAAAAAGGGTTGAAGTTCCAATTTGTCCAACTTAAGCCACCTTCCTTGCTTCTATGATTGAACCATAGAAATGTAGTTGCCTTTATGATATCGACCACCTTGGTAGCATATACCCTTTTTTATTCAATAGGCTCTCGTTCATTGCCTTCCAGATACTCCATATAGTTCCATAGCAAATTCCATGTAACATTTTTCTTCTTCTTGGTGCAATTGCCCCACCTGGATGCATAATCTAACACATCATGTACCGTTTGAAAATTCTGCATCGGGATGTTACACCATTTGAATATCCACTCCAACGCAGTTTTTGCAAACGGACATTGAACCAATGCATGGTTTCCAGTTTCATCTGTTGTGGAGCATTGACAACATGTTTTAGATGGGAGAGATACGCCCATGTTGGTTAGTGCCACGGCGGAAGGGATACGTCCCATTTTTGCCCTCCAAATGAAGCAAATGACTTTGATTGAAATTTGTTTGATCCACCTAATCTTTCCACTGTCAACAGGTTCATGACTATTCAACAACTTTCGAAGGGTTTTCACCTGGAACTTACCGTCTTCATTTAGTTCACATCTCCATTGCTCCTCAGCCGTGGCATGTTGCCTTTTGACTATTTTGCTTGGAGAAATACTATTCTTCTCTAGCTCACTTTTAATATTTGCTATATTATTCCAAGTTCCTGTCATAGTATTCATTGAAAAGCAATTGTCAGACCTATTAGCAAGTTTATGGATTCCAATGATAACTTTTGCCCATAGAGATGATGGTTGTGTCCTGAGTCTCCACCACCACTTGGCAATCAATGATATATTTAATGATTTGATGGAGTTGATATTAACCCTAATAAATATTTTAAATACTTTTAAGACCCTAAACCCTAAACCCTAACAAATATATTATGCCGAAAATAATTATGTTGTTGATATTAACTATGAATTAATAATTGTTACACTAAATTGATTATCGCAGTATTCAATAGCATTTACCCGCAAGAATTATATGTTAATATAGTTAAATTTAAATATTGATGTTGAGTTACTTTTAATTGTTCTTGTGAGCATTGAATTTAAATATCACTTATTTGATTATTGTTTGATTGAAATCACGATGATTATTTAAAATATTAATAATTGTTTTAAAGATATGAAGTTTCAAATGAATGTCGATTCAGGTTTATATTTAAAAATTTAAACCTTTTTTAAGTTATTTAAAAATAATATTAGTCTATTTTCAATATTTTTTTTTGATATTTTAATTTAGGTTTTGGATTTAACATCATATTAAAAATAACAAATTAAATATCTTAGGATTATAATACAAAAAAATTACAATTAATATGATAATATTTACATTTAATAACATACTTCATTAAATAAATTTAACAAATAAGATGGAAAGTTGAATGGTTTGGGGGTGTCAAATAGATGTGGTGAAATAAAAATGTTTCTTTTATAGTATAGTATACATACGGAGTTATATTTCAGTTTTACAGTTTGTTACAAATTGGTTTCATCCAATAAAATTCGTTAAGGATTTGGTCCGAACTATTTTTTTTACAAAGTTATCCGAAACGTTTTTTATGATTTTTTTATTCTTTCGAGTCCATTAAAATTCGTTACGGATTTGGTTTAAACTATTTTTTACCATATTTTAAATACTTTTAAGACCTTTTTAAAACTTTTATTAAACATGTTTAACTTTTTTGAAAATAGTTATAAAAAGATTTAAGATTTCTTATAAAATTTTCTTTTCACAACTTTAAAAAAAATTTGTACCATGTCTAAACTGTTTTTGCAACTTTTTCAAAATATATATATAAATTCTCTTGCAACTTTCTATACTTGTT